TTTAAACCCAAGTATCACATGATCTCACTAATCTAATGAACAGAATAAATTGATGAACAAAATAGATCCAGAGACACAGAAGCATAGAGCAGACTGCGGAATCTCAGAGGGAAGGCGGGGGAGGGTGGGTGGGTGGGAAGTGATCAACCAAAGAACTTTTATGCATATATGCATAACCCATGGACACAGACAATGGTGTGGTGAAGGCCTGTGGTGAGGGGACGGGGTGGACTAGAAGGGGTCAGTGGGAAAAAAGGGTACATCTGTATAACTTTCAACAATAAAGATAAATTTAAAAAAATTACACTGGGTTTATAAATAAATTTGAGGGAGAATTTATTTAGTCTCCCTTTCTATGAATAATATTTCTTTCCATTTCTTTAGGTCTTCATGTATATCTTTCAATAAAGCCTGACAGTTTTCTTCCTGAAAGTTTTTTAAAAAATATATCTGTATATTTTTATTGCTTTCAGAGAGGAAGGGAGAGACGGATAGAAACATCAATGATGAGAGAGAATTATTGATCGGCTGCCTCCTGCACGCCCCCTACTGGGGATCGAACCTGCAACTTGGGCATGTGCCCTTGATCAGAATCAAACCCAAGACCCTTCAGTCTGCAGGCCAACTCTCTATCCACTGAGCCAAACTGGCTAGGGCCTTCCTGAAGGTTTTAATACAAGTTTTTGTTAGATTTATTTCTGGGGCATTATCATTTTTGTTCCTCTGATAATTTGTTTAAAATTACATTTTCTAATTCTTTTATGCTGGGATAAACAGTACAGTTGTATTGTATACTCATCTCATATCCAGCAGCCTTGTCAGAGTTTATTCTAAAAATTTTTAGATTCTCTGGGCTTTTCTGTTTTAGATAGTTATCATCTATAAATAATGACAATTGTTTTATTTCTGACATTTCAGTACTTAGCTTTGTATGTATTTTTCATGTCTATTAACCTTACTAATGTTGGTTGTAATGGTAGTGATATGCTGTAATGTCCCTGATTCTAAAAGGAGTGCTCTTAATATTTCACCATTGGATATATTGTGGACTGGGTTTCTGGTATATACTGTCTATCAGGTTGCACAAGCTTCCTTCTATAGTGTTGTTACCATAAATAGATGATTAATTTTACCTAATGCCTTTTCTACAGCTACTGAAATGATCACACAGTTTTTCTCCCTAGAGAATGTGGTAAATTGTAGTTAGTTGACTGGTATTCAGATGTTGAACTAACACTGCATTCAGTAAACCCAATTTGGTCATGATGCATTCTTTTTTATACTTTCTTGATTTGGCTTGCTATGATTTTGTTTAGGATTTTTGCTTCTGGCTGCATGAGTGAGATCAGACTTAATTTTTCTTTGTTGTATGTTATTGAGAGGTTTGCATCAAAGTTATATGAGCTTTGTGGAATGGTATTCCATTTTGTGGACTTTTCTATAATTTAACTAATCCCCTTTGAATGGGTATTTAGGTTGTTTCCAGTGTTTTGCTATTATAAGAAACTAGAGGCCCGGTGCATGAAATTTGTGCACTTGGGGGGGGTGTCCCTCAGCGCAGACTGCACCCTCTCCAATCTTGGATCCCTCTAACAATCTGGGACTGCTGGCTCCCAACTGCTCGCCCGCCTGCCTGCCTGATTGCCCCTAACCACTTCTGCCTGCCAGCCTGATCACCCCCTAACTGCTCCCCTGCTGGCCCGATTGCCCCCAACTGCCTTCCCCTGCAGGCCTGGTTCCCCTCAACTGTCCTCCCTCCCCTGCAGGCCTGGTCCCCCCCCAACTGCCCTCCCTCCCCTATAGGCTCGGTCTCCCCCAACTGCCCTCCCCTGCTGGCCATCTTGTGGTGGCCATCTTGTGACCACATGAGGGTGGCCATCTTGTGTGAGGGTGTGATGGTCAATTTGCATATTACCTCTGTTATATAGGGTGCTGTATTGCAAATCCTTATGCACTTCATTAAGAAGGACAAATGCATACTTGGAGGTTATTTGTGCAGAAATGGAATTGCTTAGTCAAAGGGCATCTCAAATTTTAATTTTTATAAATACTGTGTTATTTATCTTAGAAGAAATTGACAGTTTATCATCTTTCCAGCAGTGTATTAGTATAACTGTTTCCCGCCATTTCATTGAGGAATTTAGATAAGCACTTTAAGCAAAAGAAGAAAGCAAAACAGAACACACATTTCTTTCCTGCCACATGTGTCTTCTACTTCACAGTCAAATTAAGAAAAAGGGGGACACATGTAGTACTTTCAACAATAAAGATTAAAAACAATTATTTCTTGAAAGAGTGCTATGAAAATTCACTTCACTTCCTGCACACTTATGAACTAGTCTGGATTCTACACCTGCCAGTCTACTGAAGCTACCTTGCCAAGGCAGTTAACAACCTTCTTAAGTCCAATGAACTTATCCCATTAATTTCTTTTTATTTATTTTTTATTTTTTTATTCTTGACTCCTCAGCAGTACTTGACAAGTGAGCCGTGCCAACATTCTTGAGATATTTCCTCTGGAATTTTGTGATGTTTTGCTCTCTTGTGATTGTTCCTCCTTACTTCTGTAACTCCTCATTCTCATTCTTCTGTGGTTCCAAATCCTCAGCCTGCTCTTTACATGTTTTGTTTTCTCCACATTTCTGCAATTATTCCTGATTTTACTCTCTACATTCAGGTGATCTCATCTGTAGTCATGGCTTCACCCATAGTTGCTAACTATGTAATGAAGACTCCGACTCTATACCCTTAACCTAGCTCTCACTACTAGCTTTAGACCTGAATCTGCTCCACTGACATACTGAATATTATCTGCATGGTTCACCCATCAACATTTTTTTAAAAATGTATTTTATTGATTTTTTACAGAGAAGAAGGGAGAGGGATAGAGAGAAACATCGATCAGCTGCCTCCTGCACACTCCCTACTGGGGATGTGCCCACAACCAAGGTACATGCCCTTGACCGGAATCGAACCTAGGACCCTTGAGTCCGCAGCCGACGCTCTATCCACTGAGCCAAACCAGTTAGGGTTGCCCATCAACATTTTTAAACTAAGCTCATCATTTTCTTCCTCAGCTCTGCTTTGTCTCCATTTCTCGGTACCACCATTTACCCAAGTCAGAAGTGTGTATATGTGTCCTTATCTATTTCTTTTCTTTTTATAGCCAGTCTGTTGATAGATTCTCTCAGTTTTCTTATTCTGAATCTTTCTCTTTTCATTCCAACCCCATTTGTCACCTAAAAGGAAACTATTGTTTCCTCTATTCACAACACTTTTGACACCACATGTTTGGGGGTGGTTCCACACGAACCAATTCTCCAACTCTCTGGACACAAACTGGATATCTTGCATTTCAGTTCTGACACTAACCACCTGGAGATAGTGCAGGTTAAGGGCTCAGTCGCACAAGACTATACCACAACTTCAGACACCAGTTTTAAGTCCCTGTACTTCTGACCAACCAGCTATAAATTGGTTCCTGCAACCCCCTTTTCAGGTTTGATAATTTGCTTTAATGGCTCAAAGAACTTAGGGGAACACTTATGTTTACTAGTTTATTATAAAGACTATAATAAAGGTACAAATGATTAGCCAGATGAAGAGTTATGTAGGCCGAGGTCTTCTGGAAGGGTCCAGAGTACAGAGCTTCTGTCCCTATGGAGCTGGGATGTACCACTCTCCCAGCACATGGATGTCTCTAAAACCTCTAGTTTAGGTTTCTTTTGTTTTTTAATTGAGGATTCATCACTAGGCATGATCAATTATTAACTCAATTTCCAGCCCCTCTTTCCTTCCTGGAGGATGAAGTGGAGCTGAAAGTTCCAAGCTTCTAATCATGGCTTAGTCTTTCTGGTGGGCAACCCCCATCCTGAAGCTATTCAGGAGCTCACCCAGAGTAGCCTCATTAGAGCAAAAAAGCATTCCAGGAAATTCCAGGGGATTTAGAAGTTCTGTATAAGACACTCCTTATTGCCTCCATCACTCAGGAAATTATGAGTTTTAAGAGCTAAATGTTATGAACCAGGGACAGAGACCAAATACATATTTCTTATCATGCCCACCATTTTAATTCAAGCTACTATCACCTTTTGTCTGGATCACTATAGTAGTCTTCACCCCTCGGATCCTTCTTGCTGAAGTCTTAAATGTTTTTCTAAAACATTAGATCATATCACTCCTCGGCACCTAGCACAGTATCTTGGATATTCCCTCGGTGTATATTTGCTGATGAAAGGATGAATGTGTAAATAGGTTTTTTTCTTTTCTTTTTTAGGCCTTAAAAATTTATCACAGATTTTAAAGTGAAACTTTAGGTTATATTTCTTAAATTGATCTATATAGTTCTTTTATGCACTTGTCCTTATATTAGTATAGAGTTTTGAATAATATTTTATTATTAGATCAGTATCTGCTTCATTGTTTAAAGACAAGATTTTATTTAAAAAATAGGGACTTATTAGCCCTCGCTGGTTTGGCTTAATGGATAGAGTGTTGGCCTGCGAACTGAAGTGTCGCAGATTCGGTTCCGGTCAAGGGCACATGCCTGCGTTGTGGGCTTGATCCCCCCCAGTGGGGGGGCGGTGCAAGAGGCAGCCAATCAATGATTCTCTCTCATCATTGATGTTTCTATCTCTCTCTCTCTCTACCCCTCTCCCTTCCTCTCTGAAATCAATTAAAAAATTTTTAAAAAATAATTAAAAATAGGGGCTTATTAGAAATTTATGGTTTAGTAAGGCTTGAGCTATTCAATCTGAGTGATAAAGATCTGACTAAGCTCAGCCACTTTAATATTATTTTTAAACTTGTTATTTACACTTTGAGTTTTATCATCTGAAAAGTGGATATAATATCTAACTTGTGGCACTATTGAGGATTGAGTAGGTATTTTATGTGAAGGTGCTTGGTACATAATAGGAATTAAATTAATTTTAAAGTTATGTAATGCCATAAATATAAACTACATACTACTATTTTAACTTAAAAATTTTTTCTTACAGATTGTGTGTGTACCATATCAGTGGCGTATAACTATGCTCATCATTGTTCTTGTAAATGCCCTTGTATCTATCATGGTGGAGGTAAGCACTTCAGATAATCAAATGGCTACCTTGCTGCTATGGGGTTCTTGGTGATTTAATGGTAATGGGGGAAGAGAACAGGTAGTATTATGGAAGCCTACAAAGTTTCAGTTTCATTTTAGTTAAGTTTTTTTAGCCTTTTCTTCTGACATTTCCATTAACTGATAGTCATATTAAGGGATATTACTTAGCTACACTCATACAGATAGGAGAAAATAACCAGTGAGCTAGCAAAAATTAGTGATTGATAGAAAGGAGAGTGCTCAGAATTGTTGGGGGAAGGTAGGAGGCACATCAATAAAGAGGAAACCAGCAAACTGGATGGGTTGTGGGGTGGGGATGGGGGTGGAGATTGGTGCTCAGGCAGCCCATCAACTGGTGGCCAAGAAATCAGAGTGGGCTAGTACCACTGAGTGCTGTGATATATGGTAGAATTTCCCATTTAAGGAAGAAGGGGGACTTTCTCCATGAAAAGTCATGAATATTAATAATAGAGTTTATTGAAAGTATAAAATAATGACTGTTATGAATATACCCAGTCTCAGCATTAATTAGTGGAACTTCCTCTTTGATATTTGCTTTTAAATTCCCTCTAGAGGTCATAAGGACTCTCTGATCCATTGTGCATTGTACAATTACTCTCCTATTAGGATTGCCTTTAGATCCATTTCTATAAAAAAAACTGCTGAGTTCTCATTTGCTGTTTGTTAATATAATTTTGTCTGTTCTCCAAACTATTATTATTCTCTTCTACAGTAGCAACATATGAAATGGAAAGAGATAACAGGTGTGATTTTTAAGTGAAGGGTTTCATAGGACATGATTTTGAATTAAAATTAGGTAATTTGTGAAATATATACTTTAATGATAATATTTCTAGACTTGGAAATGATGCTTAATTTGTTATCTTTCTAAAAGATGACTTCGTATTTAAATTTGGACCATAGTTGGCAGCATGGATTTTATGGTACTGAAACTGATCTTTTTAAAGTGCCCAGTGGAATGTGTTTTTGCTATTGTATGGACTATAGAAAGCACATCCAAGACATTTTATTTTAAAAGCTTTTCTTTTTCTATAGAATAAGTTCAACTTTTCACTCAAATGTTTAAGATATATATATATATATATTTTTAAAAACAGATTTTTTTAGGGAATCCTGTTATAAACCCTCATAATGTTTTACTCTTGCTCACTATCAAAAGAATTATTTGTGTTGGATTCTGAAAATCATATTCATATATAGATTTAGCTACATATAGAATTAATTTTAAATATTCAATGGAAATAACTCACTATTAAGAAAAAGACTGGATTATAAGCATTATTTTAATATGGGGAGCCCGACTATTCATATAAAAGTCATGTTTTGTGGAAAATGTAGAGGTCCCATTTTATCAAGAATTTTATGATGATTTGCATTTATCATAAAAGTCATGTTATTTTTTGTCTGTTTGCAATATTAACTGAAATTCTCTATATAACAATCAAGTCATGTTTTTTACTAATGATTCAGCATTGTGTGATCCTTTTTAAATGTGCACATTAATAAAGAATGACATAGTCATTTTTAATTCTTAACTCACTGGAATATCTCTCAGAACTTCTGCCTTGACATGGTCCTTTGGAAAGTTGTGTTCAATCGAGACAGACAAGGAGAGTATCGCTTCACCACCACACAGCCAGCACAGGTTGGAATTCAGCACTTGCTCTCAATTCTTCATGTATACCCAGGCTCTCTCAGTGTATACTCTGCATTCTGTAGACTGGTGTTCTGTTGTGTGTTGCTTCAACCTTTTTCCTTATGCCTGCCATTTCATTTCTTGTAAGGAGTCCTAGAAAATTCATGGCAAACCTTTGTTACAGGCTTCTCAGGACTTCAGAAATTTCATAAGTCTTTTTTCCATTCCAATCCTTATCTTGTGTTTATGTAAAGGTCTTGTCCTCAGTGGTGAGAGTTAATTTTTCCATTTCTGTCTGGCTTAAATGTTATGTTTTTGGTTTTCATGAGCCCCATTAGAAGCTAAATGACATGTATGTAAACAAAGTTATCAAATAGGAATTATTTCTAAATGGATCAGAGTCCAAAGGTCAAAATTTTCAGCAATTATTTCTGATTTATTGTTACTGTATCTTAATTTTGGGTGGCTTTTAGGCTTTTCTCAGCATATGTCTTTCATCATTCAGAAAATTTTCAGGCAGTGCTCATTTTTATACAAATCATGCTTAGGATTTTTTATTCTTTTGGACCCATTATATAACTTATTATTTGAAAGATATGCAAGTACAGTGATAAAAAAGAGAATGAGATATGCCCTGACTGGTTTGGCTCAGTGGATAGAGCATCGCCCTGTGGACTGAGGGGTCCCAGGTTCGATTCTGGTCAAGGGCATGTACCTTGGTTGTGGGCACATCCCCAGTAGGGAGTGTGCAGGAGGCAGCTGATCAATGTTTCTCTCTCATCGATGTTTCTAACTCTCTATCCCTCTCCCTTCCTCTCTGTAAAAAATTCAATAAAATATATATTTTAAAAAAAAAGAGAATGAGATATAAACCCATTTCCTGGTGTTAGGATTTTGACCTATAGTTTTTTCATAGAAAATATAAGTTAGTCTTATTTTTTAAACTGATGCCATTGAATTACATACAGCTCTACAGTTTGTTTATTCAATTAATCCTCTCCTGAGGATATTTTTTCCATTGCTTTCTAGAGAGAATGAAAGGGAGGGAGAGAGAGAAACAACGATGTGAGAGACACATCAACTGGCTGCCTCCCACATGTCCCACTGAGGGCGGGGAGGGAACCTGTAACCCAGGTACATGTTTTTGATCAGGTATGTGAGACCCTTTGGACCTGGGACTGATGCTGTAACCACTGAGTAACACCGGCCAGGGCTCTACAGCTTTTTGGGTGTAGAGAACTTAATGATGCAGTCTCACCTCCTCATTATCTTACCCCTTTGTTTGTAGGTGGATGAGGTATCCTAAATATTTTACTAAAGATTTCTGTATCTAAATCTTTTACTCGTCATGAGCCATGCAAGGAAACTTATAGAGTTCAAAAGGATTCCTTGGCATTGCTGAATTGGGCTATTCACTTACTTTTAGCTTTTTTTTTTAACCTAAGTAGCAACTTCTTGAGTTTTATTTGGTAATTTAGCAGGCTTGATGCCCAGTGTAATACCACATGATCCTTTGATAAGAGGTCCTGGAGAGTGCTATTCTTTTTTCTAAAGCTTCATGATGGATGAGTAGTGATCTATATATATAAAAGGCTAATATGCACAGTGTCCCCTCGGGAGTTCGACCAGGAGACTGGGAGTTCAGTTGCTCGCTGTGATGTCCGCTGACCACCAGGGGGTGGCATGGAATGAAGGAAGGCCCTGGCCAGCAGCTGGAAGGCCCCCATCAGCCCTGATCGCCAGCCAGGCCTAAGGACCCTTACCGGTGCACGAATTTCATGCACCAGGCCTCTAGTAGTTTTATAATGATGGGATGAGTTTGGAATCAGCTTCAGTTTCTTTTTCTCAAAGCAGTGTAATGCCTTAGTAGTGGGTATGACCAGAATTGTATTAGGGACTCAATTCCTTTAGCTAAATCTCCTGTGTCTGTATTTCTTTCCTTTTGATTACCTCACTACATTACTTCAGAGGTTAACTTTAGCTCATATGAGATACTTGTATTGGTAAGGCTCAAGCCAAGGAAAATATTTACCGTGAGTTATCAGCTTCTCCAGGGAGATCTACGACTGACAGGAAGTAAATGCAGGTTCTGAAGAGGAGTTATACCCCGACTTAGTCAAAATTGGGTATCATAAAGCTGTAAACATTTGAACTGGAAATCCCTCTTCATTGGTCAACCAAAATTAAATGGAAGAAAATTCTATCATTTCCTACATCTCTATTTTTTAAACATTTGTTAATAAGTATCTGCCCTTATTTTTAAGAGTTTGTGCCTCTCATGTGCAGTCTTACCTCTGAAGCATTTAGGGGAGAGAGTGAGTGGTCTAGAGCAGGTAGCTCTAGCATGTCCCGTGTGCTTACCAGTTCTGAGAATCATTGACTAGACAAGAATTTTAGTCTTCATTTTCTATGGTCACGATTAACAAATTATTGGCTTTAAAAAGAGTATTTATAACCTCTTAACACAGAATGATACACTTTTGTCTTCTGACATTTGTGTGTGTAATGGAGTGTCACTCTTCATATTTATGACTCTTCAAGGGCCAATCCTATAAAAACCTAATATGCAAATTGTGCCCTTGACTGGGAGTTTGACCAGGGGGTAAGGCCGGCTGGCTAATTGCCCATGGCCCCTTCCCCTGGCCGGCCACGCCCCCGATCAGGGCGGGCCGGCCAGACCCCACCCATGCACGAATTTGTGCACCGGGCCTCTAGTTAGTCATATTACTGTAAGGCTGTGGTTCTCAATCAGGGTCATTTGGCAGTACCTAGAGACATATTTGGTTGTCACGGTTTGGGGCTGGGGGGGTGCTACTACTGACATGGGTGGACACTGGGGATGCTGCTAAATAAACATCCTATAGTAGTATGCAGGACAACCCAGAATGTCTAGTCCAAGATGTCAGTAGTACCTGCCATAGGTGAAAAAGAAAGTAAAGTTGAGGGTGCCAGCTACACCTAGGATTTCTGTGGCTGCCATAATTGTCCCTCACCACAAACTCCTGTTCCACATTTGCCCATTCTGTATGTGCGTTTTCTACCGAGAATCCCATGAGGTCTTCTCAAACTGCAACTTCCAATCTTCTATACTAATGTCGAGAGAAGAAAATTTTTCTTTCTTTTCCTTCCTTACCATATGTACCCAGGGACCACTGAGTTGGGTTGAAAGCTAGAGAACCTTGACTAGGCTTCAGGTCTTAGACACTTGAATTGGGATGTCAAGAACCTCACCTGGAAATCTCTAGTAACCATATCAAAAAAATCTGGTGATCTACAAGGTGCTTTACACTTCCAGGATCCTTCCAATTTTAAGGCATTTCTGGCTTCATTTTATACATAGAGAAATAGCATTCAGTCCACTTGCCAAGATTTTGCATCTAATGAAATGGCAGAGTTGGGAGTTGAAGCTATGGTTTCTGATTTCAGGAGGAGTGTTTTCCCACTATGCCACATTGCCTCATATATGGGGGCTATATAGGTGTAAGTTAATATAACAATCACATGACAAAATGGAGACAAACCATAGCTACTGTTGTCAATACCTGCTTTTTATGGTAGACACTGTATGAGGCATTTTATATAAATTCTCTCTAATTGTTACTACAATCTCAAGATATAGAAATGTCTTTAGTTTCTCCCAATTCCACAGATGAGGAAACAGTGTTAGAACTGGGATTCAGATTCACATTTACCTGTACCCAGGCCCATAATATTTCTAGGCCAAAAAGCTCCTATCTAGTCTTTAAAGACAAAATAAGTATCACTTTTTATTTAATAGATACTGTGTTGTACTTGGCCTACTGAACATTCATGCAGCTAACCTAATTTAGATACAGGAAGGGTTTTTACATAATACTAATTTATTTCCTATAGTGATTGTTTTGCTTCTGGATGCTAGGTGGCCTGAATGAAATTGAACACAGGTTAAGTAAACCACATGCAAATAATCAAAGTTAAAACTTTTATGTAGCTAAATATTTCTCAGCTGTTAAGACTTATTCTCTGACCAAAAAACAAAAATCTTGATATACAGTGGTTTTCAAGCAAAAGTTTTCTTCAATAAATGCCTTTGAACTTCATCCTTGATCTACTGAATGAAAAGTTTTTAGTGGAGTGTCCCATCATCTCTATACAGCTTTACCCTGTTTGAGAAGATCTGTGCTGCATGGTCTCTTGGTGTCTTGGTGGCTGCTTAGTGGTAGATGTGGAACTAGAATTGTAGTTTGATCCTGCCTGAGGATTTGTGCCTGGTTATATTGTCCTTTTTGGGGGGGGATCCAAGTGTTAGCTATAGTCTTTATGCCACTTAGAATATTGTTCGGGCTTATGTAGATGTAATGCTAATTCTAATTGTCCTTATTTGTTTTATATTCAGGATTGGTATGGAAGAAGACTTTTATGAAAACCATAGTACCATTATAACATGTCCTGCAAGCCTGGCTTTATATTTTACATGCTACCCATGAAAACATTTCCTAAAAGACACTGCAAAGATTAAACTGGCATTGGGGTTCTAGAATGAACAGTTTGTAATGGTCTAAGAAGCAGGGGAATTTTAGCTGTAGATCTTTTTGGAAGTTCTTTGTGGTTTCTCTGTTGGTCTGTGGTAGCCTCTTTCCCTTTTCCGAGGGATACACGTGGTTATTTAACCAGGGCTTCCTTTCAGGAGCCAACCAAAAGCTCCAGTTGCTATGGCTCATGTGTTCTCCTGCTTCTGAGACCTATCCCTAGGTGTTCAGGGAGATCCAAGTGCTCATTCTGAGTCCTGTGATGCTCCCCCTCTTCACTTTCTAGTTGCACAGTGCTTGCTTTTCTCCTCTTGCCACCATCTTCTCTCTGGATTTATTTTTCATTCCAGCATGCCTGTAACACCTTTTATTTTCTCTACTGGTGTGTTATATTGTGTTTGAGGATGGTGTGGTATGTTTGTGCTTGCAAACTAACAAATCTATGCTTGCTTATAGTATATTTTTTGTGTATGATGTTTGGGGAGGTGAGGACACGGAAACAAAATACGTGTCTAATTACAGTGGAGGGGATATCCCTAGTGTTTCTTGTGACTTCATTTATTTTTTCTGAATGATAACAAGTGTACCTTGCTTTTAATAGGGACATGAGGATTTTTTTAAACATACATGCTAATGTAAAAAGAATACTATTCAGCCCTGGCTGGATGGCTCCGTTGGTTGAAGTGTTGTCCCATACACCAAACAGTTGCAGATTCGCTCTCCCAATTGGGGTGGCACCGATTGATGTTTCTTTCTCATATCTCTCTCTCTCTCTCTGTCTCTCTCTCTCAAGTCAATAAACATATCCTCAGGTGAGGATTTAAAAAAGAAAGAATACTATTCAATTGCGATTCTGTTTGCAATGAAATTGGCTTTAATTTTATTGCTTGCCTCACTTTCCGCAGGTAGGGAACAGTGGATTTAGAGATGTTTATGTGTGTCTTCCATTTGAATACACTTGGCTGTGACTTTCCTTACCTCTGCATTGTCCTTCAACCCTGCCGGCTCATCTGGACAGACAAGGCCATATGTTTCTGGTTTTTTGTTTTGTCTGTTTGTTTGTTTTCTTACAATCACCATTCACCATTCTCTTCCTGTGATCCTTTAAAAGTGCTACATGCCATAAAATAAAAAGTGACGGCTTTCAGATTGATTTAGGAACAATGGTCTTTTCTGCAACTAAATTGAAGACTTTAAACACCAAGTAGTGAGCCCTCACCTCAGATTAAATGTTACGGTTTGTTGTGTACGAGCCTCCCCTGGAAAGGAATTCTTAGTTATTTGCATCACCTGAAGAATCCTGTATCATCTTGTGGGCTTCTTTTAAGGTGATGGTAATAGCTCTCTTTATAGCTAGATGGCTAATCATAAAATCTGTACCTCCTCTCTCCCCACAGAATTGTAAAGTATAACTTACTTGTTACCACAGTTTTTGCCTATAAATTCTGTATAGCAGTGCAGCTTACTGTGTTTTGTTGACAAAGTAAGCAGACCTTTAAAAGCATTCAGTTATTATTTATAGTGATCTCAGTGCTGCCACATGCCCACAGTTTTGGAGAAGGAAGGAGTAGTAGGTTCCTGGTGGTTGTCTCAATAAAATAAGAGGACCTACCAAGTCCAACTGTAGAAAAGTGTAAGAGTTTTCATATTAAAGTATTTTGCTGTTCTCCATTGGCAAATGTAGAAACATGTTTCAGAACACATATGTTATAACAAATCTGCCTTTCTTGATCATGAAAATATTTTGGATGTTAACATATTAGAATGCTCCTCTCCGTTATGTTATGCTTTCATTTTGTGAGATTGTTTCAATTGAGATTAGACCTAGTTGTAGACTGGGTTATGTATTAATGGCAGAATAAAAAATCTGGGATTTGATTTTGCTTTGGAGAAACAAAAGCCAAAATAATTAAAAATTGATCATTCTTTAGAGGTGAATATAATTAGTTCTTGGTATAGTTGTTTACTTTTATTTCATTTTTAAAAAGATTTTGTATTGATTTTAGAGAGAGAGGAAGGGAGAAGGAGAAAAAGATAGAAGCATCAATGTGACAGAGAAACATCGATCGGCTGGCTACTACACGCCCCTACTGGGGATTGAGTCCACAACCTGGGCATGTGCTCTGACTGGGAATGGAACCGACAACCTTTCGGTGCACGGGACAACACCCAACCAACTGGGTTTATTTCATTTCTTTACCACAAATTTCAGTTAATATAAATTCTGAGGGCCTCTACTGCATTTATATTTCTTTACAATAACAAGGGACTCTGCTTTCTTGTTCTTCGAGAATTATTTATCTAAGATCACAGTCATTAAAAACATCAGGATTAATCAGAAGGACTTCAATGACAGCAGAGCTTTTTATAATGAAATAATACTAAGAAATAGTACTTGCTTTATAGCTTTGTATGTACCTCCTCTTAAAGGTAGAGCACCAAGGGTAACCATCATTATAAAATAAAATTGTTTTTGTATGAATGAAAATGTGGCTTTAAAAGAAGTGAATGATATTAAACATGATCTAAGTTCTAATTTTGACCTAACAATATTTTCATAATGTCTTATGTTTTAAAAGGTAATATTAACAGTAACAATGATATTTTTTACACTGCTTTCTTCCAAAAATGATCTAGTACCAAAGGATAGTTTGGGATAGAAGATGAGAGTTTCCATATTGAATATTAAAATATTAAAAATATTTTCTCTTTCTGAATAGTTTAAAATAATTCTTGATGCAATAGATGTTTTGTGTTATCCAGATCTGCAAGTTATTTTAAAAATGTATCTATACAAAAAGAAATGGGAAAAAAAGTATACATACACAAGAGGTTAGGTCTATAACCTAAATAAAATAAAGTATATTATATTGATAACTAAAACATCTAACCTTTAAAAATGTTCCTAAATAATTGAAAGCTTACTTTTTTACATGGATTTTTTTTCATTTGTTTATGCTCAAAAGTCACTTCGTCTTATTTTTTTGTGTTGACATACTCTGCTTTAATAAATTTGCTAAAAACAAGTAGCCTTTAATCTTCTGGGGTGTTCTTTTTCCTTATTTCCTTAGGAGTCAGTGGATTATTGGGGGAAATGCTGCTTGTCCTGTGCCCTGGACTGTAGAAAGAAGATACCAAAAGCAAAGTACATGTATCTGGCTCAGGAGCTCTTGGTTGACCCGGAATGGCCACCAAAACCTCAGACGACAACAGAAGCTAAAGCTTTAGTTAAAGAAAATGGATCATGTCAAATCATCACCATAACATAGCAGCGCATCAGTCTCGGTGGGATGCTAGTAGCAGTATTGAACAGAATGTAATTTAGGACTTCCTGATCCTGTGTGTCAGATGGCATCATTTCAATCTGTGTTCCTTCTGATATAGTAGCTGATTTCAGAGCTTTTTTTTTTTTAAACAAAAGAAACAAAAATAAAAGATTGGCATGCCAGCTAAATTAATAATCAATCTGTGAAGTCCTCTTTCTTTATTCAGTAACTCTGAATATTATATTTCCACAATGTTCTTGATTATTACCCTCCGTGATACTCTTTATATAGGGTATAGAAGAAAGTTGGTATTTGGTAGGGTTTTAGACATTAGCCCTTGAGACTTAGTTTACACCTTTAAATTTATTTTCACAACTCCTCTTAGAAAAGGTCCTTGTTTATATCAGGCCCTAAATTTATGATTAGGTTCTAGTGAAAATAGTTAAAAAGCCTGTTTCATTTGATTCTAACATTTCTTCCAAAGAATTCTATATATACATACACCAGATTCCTTTGATAATCCAGAGTTAGGAGTGAGTTTTATGGTGTTGCTTATAGAACAACTCAGGTAATTTCCACTATGGTTTTATATTTTCTGTACAAACTGCCTGGGTTTTATTTTTCTAATCAGCAAGGTGCTTCACTGCCTTCTGGAGATGTCCCTCAAAACTGTTAATGTGTCTGTGCTGTCTGGGGTCAGTAGTGTAATTTGCTTTAGTTAAATGTTGTAAACCTTTTTCATTAGGAAAAAATATTATTTCTTTTGGTAATAGATGTGGATCTATCTTTCTGATATCTCTCCATACCTGTTTTTTTCCTCCTCTCAGGTTTTATATTATTTTAAATGTCTTTTATTTTCTGCTTTTTTAATTTTCTAAAAACATTGGATAGTAGTGAGCTAGCTTTTTGTTTGTTTTTTGCTATTTTTTAGTTTTTTGAGTTAGATTTTTGCCTTCTAAAATTTTAAAGATTTGATGTATGTCTATTCTATCAATAATAAGGCTTAAAAAAGGAGTGGTTTTGAACAACTGCTGAATTTGTTCAAAGCAATATGAACTTGCGAGAATTTGTTTTATGCCATTAGGTGGCGCCAGAGGTCAGAGTTTACCTATTTTTGGATTGGATGTTTACAAATGAACATACTTTGGTGGTGGCATTTTCTGGGAGAAAAGAAAAATGGAAATAAAGTTAAAGAATAGACATTCTTTGAATCAAATGAAATGTGAATAATATTTTTCACCTTTCTGTTTTGCCTAGATAATGTTTAAATTCTAAGCAAAATAAAAGTAACTTTAAAAATGCCTTTATAGGTAAGATCCTGTAGTTTGACAAAGTCCACAGTTATGGATAAACAAGGAAACTGATACTGCTGTAAAATGGACACTAAACTTCTAAAAGTATGTGATATTATCCTGTGTTCTTCCTTAACCAGTAGCATGGGTGTACTGTTCACCTCTAGCTGGTCATTATTTTCCTGATCTGTACTTACCAATTTACCAAATGTTACGCAGAACTGTAGAATCAAATGATTCTCATTTTTTGTGGTGCAGCGATATGAATGATGTTTGGTGACTATAGAAAAATGTAAGTTACACTCAGGATCACTGTTATTGCTATTGCCACTGATGATTCTCACAAAAAAAAAGTTTCCATAAAAAAATAATACGCTATTAATACACATTAGATAAGAACAATTGTCCCATGAATGATTCTATGAAGCTATGCATCTTAGACCTCTTGAGCTGTGAATTAGCACTGTTTTCTATAGTTATTCTCTTGATTGTTTTATAATTTCCACGTTTATTTTCAACATGTATAAGTGTTATTCTTCAGTGATTTCCCAGAATTGTAAATCTTATTCTTTGATTTAAATACTGAAGCATATAATTAAGGTAATTGCTAGTAGCAGCTTAAAAACCCAATTATCAGATTGTATTTAACATCTTTAAGAGCATGATCATAAAGAGCTATATTTTTTACACCCTCCCTTTTTTTAACATTTAAATTTTATAAGGGTTTTATATCTCATCTGTCTATATTGCTTTCAAAGGAATAAGGTTTTTAGGTAGGTGGAAAAGCATTTGTAGGAAGTTAGATTTGAACTAAGTGGGTTGTTCAAGTTGTAATTGATGGCTTCCAGAATATTATTTGAGGAATGTTTGTGAATATAGGTGTGGGTCCTACTCAGTGCCATAGATAGAGTTCTCTCTCTCTGTAGGTCACCATTACATAGCAATTTTGATTCTTAATTTCACATTAAATTATTTGAGTGTATACAGACGTAAACTTTAAAATCTGTACATATATTATTTTGGTTTATTAAGATTAATAAATATTACCGCTTTAAATTTTATTTATGCACATACTTAAGGACAGAAATGTCCGGGAAAATAATTGTTAAATAATGATATGTAACTTTTTAACTTTTTAAATAAATAACAAGATTTTTAATGTGTGTCTCCCTCAGGGTTGTTTAAGTTTTTTTTTCTCCCTCAAATATAAATAGTGGTGACTATGTTTGTATCTTCTAGCACCAACTGCTGTAAGGCATTGCTGCAAATAATGCTTGAATAAAAGTGGCTAAGCCAACAACAAAATGAATACTTTTATATTAGTTTTATAATCCTTGCATTTGAGAGCTTTCCAAATTGCACTTGCATTTAAACAAAACTGTTGCAGTTTTTACTGTATTTATTTTGTTATCCCTGTTTATGAAAATACTGCACAGTTTCAAAGGCATGGTAAAAATATCAGTGTTTATATATTCTGTTTCCAAAACAGCTATACATACACTGTTCAGAGAAGAGCAAAATTCAAGCTTTAGAAAACGTTCTAAGATATCTTGCATGTAATTTTGACATATCTGAAATAGGTTTTTGTATATTTATGGTGGGAGGTGGTTGGGAACTTTTAGCAAAATATGGGATGTTAATTTTTGTACAGTCTGTGGGTATTTACACATATTTTTTAATGTATTAAAATTTGGTAATTATGTGCACATTAAATTAATAAAATAGATAACTTCCTGTTATGATTTGTTAATTCCCTAAGACTTTGGAATTTTTTTAAGAAACTTTATATCAGAAATGATATTGCATCTTTATATTTTTAAAATTATATTGCTGCTCAAGAATGGTACCCTGATGTCAAAAAGGCATACATTCATAATTGTACATTCAGCACTGTAAATAACCGTATGAAATTTTTTTTGATTGAAGCATTCAAAATAAAAATCTAAATGAATAAAATAGATATATTTTTCTTTCTGTGTCTTTATACATGTTTCCTTTTTAGTTAAATGGGTTTATTTTCCTGCTTAATACTTTCCCATTTCCTTTTTCTTTTATAACATTGGGGTTGTTTTTTTTGTTGTTTTTTAAAAGATGTTTTTATTTATTTCAGAGATGAAGGGAGGGAGAGAGAGAGAGAGAGAGAGAGAGAGAAAGAAACATCAATGATGGCGCCCGGCCACGGTGGCTCAGTGGTTGAGCATCAACCCATGAACCAGGAGGTCATGGTTCAATTCCGGTCAGGGCACATGCTTGGGTTGTGGGCTCGATCCCAGAGGCGGGTGTGCAGGAGGCAGCCAATTAATGATTCTCATCATTGATGGTTCTATTTTTCTCCCTCTCTCTTCCTCTCTGAAATAAAAATATATTTTTTAACAATTAAAAAAAAGAAACATCAATGATGAGAATCATTGATTGGCTGCCTCCTTCACAATCAGGGATTGAGCCTACAACCCAGACATATGCCCTGACTGGGAATCAAACTGTGACCACCTGGTTCCTAGGTTGACACAACCACTGAGCCCCACAGCCGGGCTAACTTTGGGTTTTTGAAGGAAATAAATACAGCATTCCACACTTTTGTCTGTGACCATCTGTGGAAACCTATCAGTCACATACAATGTAGAGCCAAATGTTAAGTGTCAGGAGGTCTGAGGGAAATGGTGAACTATAAAATTAGGGAGTTAGTCTATTAATACTTGGGAAGATCAAAAGCTAATACCGTGTAAGACATGGTGCGTTTGAAGTGAAGTGGTATCTGTGGGTGCCAAAGGAGCCCTCCAAGGGGAGAGAAGCTGTGGAGCTGACTGCTGGCCATAGAAATCCCAGAGAAGGCAGATTTGTGTTGGGCCTTTGTGCTTGGGAAGGTGTTTTCTAGTATGGCAGGTTCTGCAGGAGACATGCATCCTCGGCTATGGGCTGTGTGGCTGGCTGTGATCTGATGAATTTGGGTGGTATGAACACCAGTTTGAGCTCAAGTTCTTCCATGCACTGTGGTTTGTATAGCAAATGATCATGTCCCCACAGCCTGCTGATGTGGGCACAGTTCCTCTTATCTTTCCTTCCTCTTCCCCCCTTACTGCCAGTTGCTTTATTCTTAGCGTACACTGCAGGGAAGGACAGAAGGAATTCTGTGAGTTTGAATGAGACTGTCCCTGTTCATAGTTGTGGTTGTGGTTACTCTGCAGGTGTTACTCCTGCTGTGCCCAGCCTCTGTGTCCCCTATGGGGGAAGAAAAGCATGTCGCATCCAGGCAGACACCTGCTTTTAAATGACCAAACCCCATAGTCCAGGGCTCTGTGACTTACACAGAAGCTATTAGGACAGCAGATTTCCAACCTGTTTCGTAGATCCCAGCTCCAAAGACTTGAACACTAGAGCCGTCAACTTCATTGCTCAAAATGATTCCGGCACCGTGTTTATTTGTTCAGTGGATGGACTCACAGTGTTGCTCTGGACCCAGTTCTCCCTTCTTGGGCAATCAGAATGCCCTGCTCTCTTCAAAGAACAAAACTTGGAGGTCTTCCTGGGGAAATAGACTAAAGAAGCTTCGCTGGAATTTGACTCCAAGTCACCGATTAGTCCACAGTACTTCTTCCCAATCTCTCCATCACATTGGCTCCCCGGCATTTTCCTAGGCAAAGGGCCTTTCGCTCGGTGTGCCTATGCATGTCTGACTCACTACGCCACCACGGCATGTGTTCTGGGCTCAGTTCCTTCCCTTGATTGGAGCTAAAAGACGGCCCATGATCTCTGGCAGAGGGAGTGACTTCCCCTGTGCTTTAGGACTTCATGACTTAGAGGTAACTTCAGTCAGTACAGCATTTACTGGGCTTTAACTACATTTGGCTCCAAACGCTGCTTGGATTTCAGTGCTTTTTCCACATCTGCAAATGTCATGGATCAGGAAGTTTTTCTCAACCAGGATGAAATAATTTAAGGACCATTTCTGTACCACTCCATTCAATGATTCCAGAGGTTAATGTTTATTCTTTCACAATTCAAGCCTTGACTTTCTCTAGTGTGTTTTAATACCTTTATCCTTATGTTTTTTTCCTTAATGATGCCATTTCCCTTCCAATTCACTTTATTTTTGCATTAAAATTTTTAAAATACAATTGTGATATAAGCATATTTAGTAAAAATTTAAACCCCACAGAAAGGTATGTAAGAAAGTCCACCTGTTCCCTGGCTTCTCCCCCAAAAGATGAATACTAAAGTTTCTTGGTGTATCACTGTAGGAAAAAAATATGTATATATCCTCATGTAAATATATATATTTTTAAATGCTACACAAGTGGAATCCCATTGCATATGCTCTGCTGCCCTTGCTTTCTGTCATTTAGTGTATCTGTCAGCACTTGGAGCTCAACCTTACTCACTCTAAAGTCTGCAAGGCATCCCACGGCACGGGTGTACCATAATTTAAACAACTTGTTCCCTGTTGATGGTCATTTAGATTTTTGTTTCTTTCTCTGTTACAATTCCACAGTAAGTGTTTTTGTGCACATACCTAAATGAGCATATCCATGGAGTGTATTTTTATCGGTGGAATGGCTGGACACAGAATATGCATATTTTAAATTTGGTTGATACTACTAAATTTTTCTCTGAAAAGTTTGCCCCAATTTATATGCCCACCAATGTAGTATGAAAATGTCTAGTAACATTAAAAGTTATTTCAGTGTGGGGTACGGTGCAGGGTTTTCAAACAGCTCAGAAACAGACCCACAGACCCACACACTGATGAGGTGCTGGTTCCTGGCAGCGCTGACACTAGCGCCCAGGGAAGAAGGGATTTACATACACAGGGCCAGGACAGCTGGTTATCCTAATGGGAAAAATAAACTGGACTCTACTCACATCGTACACAAAAACCAACTCTAGATGGATTAAATAGACCTAAAAGTGGAGGGCAAAGCTATAAACTTAAGGCATTATAGGGAAATAGTTTTCTGATTTTGGGGGAAAGGGGGGATTTATTTTAATAGACACAAAAATCACAAATTAGAAAAGATTGATAACTGCCTACCACAAGACTTATGTCAAAAGACCTCATACAGAAGGTGAAAAGGCAAATCACAAATTAGTTGATATTCTTAACACCTATAACCAACAAAGGATTCATATCCAGAATATATTAAAATGCCTATAATTCAGTTTTTTTAAAGACAGAAGCATACATATTTTGCATATAGACAAAAGGGCAAAAGAAAACTGAATTTCTCAGAAAATGAAGTGGCCCTTAAAATATGAAAAGAGGCTCGAGTTCATTAAAAACCACACTGACAATCATTTCACATTAATTGCGAAAAATACATTTAGAAGATCAATTCCAAGTATGGGCAGAGCTGTGAAGCACAGGGACGTCCCACACTGCAGGTGGCAGCATGTACTGGTACAGCTGCTTTGGGAGGCCGCTTGACAGTCCTAAGTGAAACTGAACATGTGAACACCCTTCAACTCACCCGGTGATGCCTAATTGAACATCTTTGAGAATATTTTCAGCCTTATTATTTCTAAAAAGAAATTGAGTGGAGCATTTGAGGGTAGTCTTAGCCTTATTATTCACCCAAGGAGGAGGGGAGCTGGACTAGAGAACTGTGGCATGAAAAGGAAGCTGGGAGGAAGCCTGGCCCCTCCAGGGGTGTGGCAGCTGCAATGTATCACTAAGCTTTTCTAGCTACAGAGTTACTTTGTGCCATTTATGGAGAAACTTCTCTCTCCTGCTCTTGTCATTCAGCCTTGACAGTAGGATCTAGGTTATATATAGTTGCTTTCAGTTTGAAAATATTTGTCATTAAAAATCCCGAATATGCCTTCTGAGATAGGGCCCTTTCCATGACTTTTATTCTGTTAAAGTCTTTATCCTGAGGATGCAGGGGTACCGCCCTTTTCCTTTGGAAAGTGCCGAATCACAGGCGAGGCTGTAAGCCTTTCAGTTGCTTTGGGGTGCAGTACCATTTCAGGTAAGGCCAAATGCTTTAAAATTAGTACGGGCAACTGGAGGGCTTGGTGAGTTCATGTGTGCATAAGAAATAATAGGTAGCTACAAGAAACGATTTGTGTAAAATTACACTGGGGAAACGTTTTGGCAGATTAGTATTACTGTGTGTATTTCACAGATGATTCAATGGCAGAAGTATTAATTTTTAAACATCTTAGAAATGATAGCTTCTTATTTATGGTTCAATCAGATATACTACTCTCCAATTCTAGCTCTGTGACCCTGGTTAAGTTCCTTAACCCTACCAGACCGCTGTACCGATTTTTTGGTAATTTCCACACAAAGGTGGAATATTGGCGCTAGATGAAAGGTAGATGAAAGGTAGACCTATTTTCTACAATGTCTCCAAGTTCCACCTTATTCTAACCACTTGTTTGCATGTAACTAACATTTTTCTATATCATGTTGGTTTTTTCTCTTTAATGCTCAGGAGCCCAGGTATAGGGGACAGTTAGGTTCAGGGCCTCAGGTCTGTAGGATTAAACTTCCCATGCCTTCGTTTCTTCATTCTTTGGGGAGAGTAATAGTATGTATCTCATAGGGTTAGGTAAAGATGAAATGAATGGATTCAAATAAAGTGCTGGGAAGAACGCCTGGCATAGAGTGGTAAGTATTACTACCTGCGTTTCCCAGTGTGGCTGAGGGTGTTCGCTATTTGGGGGCGGGGAGGTGTCCATTGTTGTAGTAGAGGAGTTGGTATTGCAGATATAACATGGTTGTGACCAAAGGAATCAGGTGGTGGCTGTCATTTGAACACTTTGCTGTTCCCTCCGTGACTTGGTTACAACCACCCCTGGGTAAGGATAGAGTCAAGAGCAGAGCTATGTTCACAGTGGGCACTGCTCTGCGAAATCTGGAGCCTGAATGTGAGAATAATTATTCAGTGAGTTCTCTCTACGTAAAGAATTGGCTTTTCTCTGGCTTGCAAACACTTTCCTTTCCATGCTTTGCACTGAGAGTGGAAAATCAGCAAAACAAAAGAATGAGACATGGGAGTGTAGAACGAATGAATGTCTTTTTACCACCCAGGAAAATCTGCCCCCCTAAGCAAAGCGGGAGACTTACTTGTCTATGGATTACAGAGGCAGTGATAATCCTGGCGAAAGAATCCTGCCTCTGCAACGTTAGATGCCCAGGGTTACAAGAGCGCACTCGAACGTTTGCCCTTGTGTGTTGTCCACAGGCGTCCGACATGCTGAGGGCCGCCCTGCTGTGCGCGGTGCTCGCGCTCCTGCACGCGCAGCCAGTCCCCTTCCCCTGCCCGCCCGCCTGCAGCTGCTTCGTCCGGGACGCGGTGCAGTGCTCAGGGGTCGACGTAGAGCGCATCGCCGCGCTCGGCCTGCCCACCAACCTCACGGTCATCATGCTGTACCGCATGGACCGCGGCACCCTGCGGAGTGACAGCTTCCGCGGCATGACGGTCCTGCAGCGCCTCTTACTGGCCGACAGCCACATTTCCGCCGTCGCCCCCGGCGCCTTCAACGACCTGATAAACCTAAAAACCCTGAGGTTGTCGCGCAACCAAATCCCGGATCTTCCAGGCTCCCTCTTCGACCAGCTGGTGCTCCTGGAACAGTTGTTCTTGAGCCACAATGAGCTAACGCGCATTGACCAAAACCTGTTTCGGAACCTGGTTAACCTGCAGCAACTCCTTCTGAACAACAATCAACTCGTTGCCCTCCCCGCCGGCCTCTTCGCGCACCTGGGGAACCTGAGGGTGCTGGATGTATCGGGAAACAATTTGACTCACTTGCCGCAGGGGTTGCTCGGAGCACAGGCTAAGCTGGAGAGACTGGTGCTCCACTCCAACCGGCTCGTCTCTCTGGACGCGGGGCTACTGCGCAGCCTGCGCGCCCTGGCCGAGCTGCGGCTCGACAGAAACCGCCTCCACTCCCTCGCGCCCGGGGCTTTCGACCAGCTCCGCGACCTGCGTATTTTAACTCTTTCCAGAAACCAGCTGCGGTCCCTGCCCTCTGCACTCTTTCTCCATTTGCACAATCTGACCTTCTTGGCGCTGGATGAGAACCCGCTGGAGGAGCTCCCGGGCGTGCTCTTCGGGGAGATGGCGGGCCTGCGGGGGCTGTGGCTGAACCGCACCCAGCTGCGCACCCTGCCCGACGCCGCCTTCCGCAACCTGAGCGGCCTGCGGGCCCTGGGGCTGACCCTGAACCCGCGCCTGGGAGCGCTCCCCGAGGGCGCCTTCCGGGGCCTCGGCCAGCTGCGCCAGCTGTCGCTCAGCCACAACGCGCTGCGGGCCCTGCCCCGCGGGCTCTTCCGCGACCTCCGCAGCCTGGAGCAGGTCCGGCTCGAGCACAACCTGCTGCAGACGCTGCCGGGCGACGTGTTTGAGGACCTGCCCGGGCTGGCGGAGGTCCTGCTGGGGCACAATCCTTGGCGCTGCGACTGCGACCTGCGGCCGTTCCTGGCCTGGCTGAGACAGCACCCCGGCCTCGTGGGCCGCGCGGAGGAGGCCCCGCGGTGCCCAAGGGCAACGCCCTGGGCCTGCTGCTGCAGGCCCTGTCGGGACGGTGACCTGGGGTGCCCGAGCACGGGGGGGCCGCCTCCCCACCCTCTCGCCCCCACCTGGCCGGCCCTGCCCGTGGCCCGCGATCGCCCAGCCTGGGTGCCGACCAGCGCAGAGCCCTGGGCGCGGGCCCAGCCGGTGGCCGAGGGCCAGGGTCAGGACCAGAGCCTGTTCTGGGGTCTTTATATTCTGCTTTTAGCCGCTCAGGCCGTAATAACCGGGGTCATTGTGTTTGCTATGATTAAACTCTGCCGGCTCTTCCGAAAATTAATCAGAGAGAGAGCTCTGGTCTGAGTCAACGGGAAAACCTTGTAATGAATGAGAAGGCGACCAGAGTATTGTTAGATGTGACTCTGGGAGAATCCAGACAGGTTGCCTCCGTCTTCCTTTCTCTTGTCTCTGCCGCCCGCCCCTCTGCCCTCACACCCACCTCTCTGTCTCCTCCTCCTCCCTCCCCTTTCCTAGAATTGCCTTTACGTGTGAATTGTGACTGCTTGCTTTGCTTCATCCTTCACCGTGGGGGCCTGGGAATGTGGGTTGTGTTCACCTCATCTCTGTGCGCCCCCTGCCGGTGGAGAAAGGGCTACCTTCAGAGTTTACTGAGGAAGGGAGGGTGCGGGCGAGTCAGCCACCTCCAGGCCGCGGTCTGGCTCCTGTCTGGCAAATGTGCAATAAATGAATAAAATGAATACACATGATCCAAGTGATAGTGGCTTTTCCTGGGGCAAGGAGGGATTGTTCTCTTTATTTACTTTTGTTTGCAAAGCAGAACTCTTCCAGTTCTTTCCCTTGTCCTACTTTTGTTCTCACTGTTTGTATGTCTGTGGGCTGTTTGGGAGAGTGTGGGGCTCCATTCACTCAGCGCAGGTTTGCAAAGTAGGCCTACTCTGTGATGGGCGGAGAGAGAAAAGAGCCAGGCCTTCCCTCCAGGAGTGCAGCACCAAGACAGGAGCCAGGACAGTGGTCAGGCCTGAGTGCCAAGGAGCAGGAGGAGGGGCCCTGGGAAGGGTGGGTAGAGCAGAGATTTGAGAGCAGTGGGAGCTCACCAGGAGGTCTGTGTGTGTGTGTGTGCGTGTGTGTGTGTGTGTGTGTGTGTGTGTCCCACAGGGTGGGGGTGGGGGCATTGATTCAGAGGTCCCTGTGTGTGTGCTGCAAAGACTTATGAAACTACTATGAGAGAGAAGTGTATCATTGACACTGGGTTGGCTTTCATTTCCTGAACTAAATGTTACCTCGTTTCACAAGCATTTAGGGGAGCACCTCACATGTGACAGGAGTTCATGAATGTAATGGCAAGCTTGGTTTCTAGTTTATTATGCTTGATCACATTCTCATTTATTCTTCCGATTGAAAGTAGTAAAAACCTTGTTGCTTTCAATGGATGCCTGTGAGCAGCAGTGGCTAAAACACGGGTGGAGCGTTGACAACCGTGGGTTCAAATCCCAGCTCCACCCCTTACTAACTGCATAGGGCTTTGGGCGAGATACTTAGGTTGTCTAAGCCTGGGTTTCCTCGCCCCTGGGAAGGGAGAAAGAGCACCTGCTTCATAGAGTGTGAGAATCAGAGGCATTAAAGCATGCGATAGCAGCCCAGTGCCCAGCGAACGGTAACTGCTCAAACGTTAGCTCTTGGTAGAGGCCAAGCAATTACCTGTGGTACTGCCATCCTGACTTCTAAAGAAGAGCTCTCGGTTGCTTTTTCTTCGGTGTGTGTGTAAAGGTGAGAGCGAACTTTCTCAAGCTGAAGGTTACCTTCACCCCAGTTTGTCTTCACGTGTGTGTGGTCTCAGCCCTGTGCAGTCAGGCCCTGTGCTCCCAGTCCAGAGCAATGGATCCTCAGAACACCACCACGGGACACAGAGCAGGGATTGCTGGGTTCCTGGCATTTGTAGGTGCACTTCTCCTTCACGGCCAAGTTCAAACGTCTCCTCCTGGCCAAGCCTTTCCCTATGCCCAGGCAGACTGCAGTGTTCCCGCTGTGTGCCCCCCTCACAGGCCATCAGGCACTAGGCACCCTCCCCACCCCGTCTGCTCCTGGTCACCCTTCACTCTGGTGTGTGTATGTGTTCATGTGCCTCCTTGTATCATTTATTTCTACTGTTCCAAATTTTGCAGCCACCTATAGCATAAAACCCAGACTTTTTTGATGAGCATAGTCCTAACCACTATGCTCTCAGGCAAGCTGCCCCCACTCTAAGCCTCCATTTCCTCATCTGTACAGTGAGGATAGTAACGGTCCTTACATGGTTGCAAAGACAGAATGAAATAACTCAGGCCAAATAGTTAAGTCAGTGGCTGGTGCATGTGAGACTCAATAGAAGTTGGCTATTACCATGATAGCCCTTTTGAACGCGCTGTGTTTTAACATATCTCATTGCCTTTGCAGATGTTCATTCATTCAGCAAATATTTGTTGAGTACCTCCTCTGTACCCGGCCCTCTTCCAAGTGGAGGATGGAGCAGTGGTTAAAACAAAGTACATACTTCCATTGGGTTTACATTTTGGTGTTCCCTCCAATGAAAACATCTTCCCTGGTCATTATCTTTAAACATTCAGAAAAGTTAAGAGAATAACTTTGGACGCCTGAACCTGCTTTTTAAAATCTTTATTCTTTGTTCTATTTGCTTCAGATATTTTTTTAACAGAATAAAATATGACAGATAAAGTTGAAGGCTCCTGTATATTGCTTCCCTGTTCTCATTGCTCTCCTTCTCTCCTCACAAGTAAGCTGCTTAATAAATTTGGCGTTTCCCATCCTCAAGCGTGTTTTTATATTCTTACCACATGTGTCTACAACTCTGAACAAGCTGAAGTAAGACTGCCTGTTTTCAAATTTTATATAAATGATGCTACTCTGCATATAGCATTCTTCAACTGTGTTTTTTTTTCTGGGCTAACGTACCCTTGAGATTTACCCATATGAAGCATTTGACACTAGGTCATTCATTTGAATAGCTGCATAATAGTCTATTGAATGAACATACCATAATTTATCTGTTCTCTTGTTGGTGGACAATTATTTCCAGTGTTTTTCTTTTCTTTTTATTCCCCATTACTCTACATTCTCCCCAACTCCTAATAATGTCAGAATTTTTAATTTCTGTCAATCTGATAGGTATGAAATGGTAACTCATTGTTGCGTTATCTTTCATTTCCCTGATAACTAGTGAAATTAAATTTATTTTTTCAATGTTTGTTGAACATTCAGATTTCTTCTTTCAAGAATTATCTGTGCATATATGTTGATCAATTTATAATGGGGCATTTTGCCTTTTTCCTTTTGATTTGTAGGACTTTTTACATATCCTGGACAAAATCCTCTGTAAATGGTATATCTTACAACTATCCTGTTTCAGTTTGTAGCTTCTTTTTTTTTTAACTTTTTAAAAATATATATATTTCTTTATTGATTTCAGAGAGGAAGGGAGAAGGAGAGAGAGATAGAACATCAATGATGAGAGAGAATCACCGATCGGCTGCTTCCTGCACATCCCCCACTGGGGATTGAGCCCGCAACCCAGGCATGTGCCCCTGGCCAGAATCGAACCTGGGACCCTTCAGTCCACAGGCTGACACTCTATCCACTGAGCCAAACCAGCTAGGGCAGTTTGTAGCTTCTTATTTCACTTTACTCATCCTGTCTTTTGTGGAACAGAAGCTTTCATTTTAATGTAGTCAAATGTAGCAATATAACTTTACGGTTGGGCTTTTAAAAAAAATCTTGTTTAGGAAATTCTCCCTATTGTGCCGCACTGCCTCCTTGCTTTGCACTGGGTGAGCTTGGTGGAGTTTTTTGTGTTTTTTTTTTTTTTTTTCGGAATTCTGGACTGCCCTGTTTTAAGTTGCAGTGGACAGCTGCAGAAGAAGAAAAGAGGATATGGCAACAAGAAAGGGGGAAATTTTGACCCAGGGAAACAGATCTGGTTTGGATCCAGTCAGGAACCAATGTTATCTCTAGGGACTCAATTACCTGTACTTTATCATGTGCATGAGCTAATACATTGGGGTCCTAAAAATATGATTTACTGGGAACCTTCTACTGTAGCTCACAAAGTGTATAGCAGATGTCTGTCTGTCCAAATATAACTCTGAAAATTCATTTTGCGGGTCCCAATGGCATTTCCCACTTCCTTGAGATCCATTAAGGTATGGTAATTAGATTTTATCCAAATGCCTCCATCGCAAAATACAAACGTGTGCTAGTTATGATTTGCATGTTTGTTTGTTTTTTTCCACTGGGTGGAGGCATTTCCTCGCAGGAAAGCAACAGCCTTAACAGTAGGTAAATTATTATTGGGAAAAATTAACTCCCAATTGGGAATTCCCCCTGAGTTACAGTAACTGAGGGATTCATCCACTGGGCAAATAATGCAATCCATTTGCAGTATTTGGCTTATTCTACAGTATTTTCATTATGCCTATCACCCCAGTTCTTTGGGTTGATAGAACATACAAATGGTACAGTTAAAGCTCAACTAGTAAAATTTTCAGAAGCTTTTAATTTCCCTTAGCCAAAAGCTCTCCTTATGGTGCCCCTCAACCTGAAATCTACTTCTTTTGGTAAACACATAGCTTATCTCCTCATTAAATAGTCACGGGTCCTATGCATCTGGATGAAAGGACATAGGAAGCAACCTTACTAAAAGGAGACATTCTGCATTATTATCAGGAACTTATGAACCAGCTTACAGGGACTGGTTAATAAATGGCTACATTAGTGACATTCATTTCACAGTGCACTCTCAGCAGACAAGACTTCGAGGACCGTGACTTACAACCAGGAGATTTTGTCCATTGGAAAATTTAAGACTTTCCCCAACGTCAGTGGAAGGGATCTTATCAGGTGCATAACCACGAATAGACGCCTGCCCCTGTCGGTGACATTTGCCTCCTCCCACAGCTGAGATCAGACTTCTTGAGGAGGAGAAGCCGCTGAGGTCAGAGATAGACAGCTTTCCCAAGACATCAACGAGGCCTGTAGACCTACAAACTGTAAACATGGGCCATCTTTCCAATTTTTTAGGTCTTTTCTAATCTTTCAATGAGGTTTCAGAATTCTTTCATAAAATCTTGCACAAATATTGTTAGGTTTATTCCTAGGTCTGCTCCTATTCTGAATTCTTGTTGCTATTGTAGATGTTATCACTTTTTAAAATTACATTTTCTGATTGCTTACTACAGGTATATAGAAATGGAATTATTTTTACTAGTACATAATTATCTTATATCTGGCAATAATTCTAATAGTTCGTTTCTTCCTATTGAAAGCATATATCTTTTATTTATTTATCTTTCTATCTTAAAAAATCTTATCTGCACTGGCTAAAACTTCCAATATAATGTTGAATAGAAATGGTGATAACGAGCATCCTTAAAAGCATCTGATTGCAAATAAAATGCCGCTACGGTTTCATCAATAAATGGGACATTTCTTTTTTTATATAAAGGTAATTTTTTAATTGGAGGCACATAGATTTTTTAAAATTGATTTTTAGAGAGAGAGGAAAGGAGAGAAATAGAGAGATAGAAACATTGATGAGAGAGGAACATCATAGATTGGCTGCCTCCTGCACTCCCCCTACTGGGGACCGAGCCTACAATCCCAGGCATGTGCCCTGACTAAGGATCAACTGGCAACCTCTTGGTTCCTGGGTTGATGCTCAACCGCTGAGCCACACTGGCCAGGCAAATGTGACATT